AAAAAGAACATTGCTGCCCGTCTGCAGTTTGCTAAAGATCATGTGGACAAGCCAGAGGAATACTGGAGAAATTTTTTGTGGATGGATGAGACCAAAATAGAACATTTTGGTTTAAATGAGCAGCGTTATGTTTGGAGAAAGAAAACACTGCATTCCAGCATAAGAACCTTATCCCATCTGTGAAACATGGTGGTGGTAGTATCATGGTTTGGGCCTGTTTTGCTGCATCTGGTCCAGGACGGCTTGCCATCATTGATGGAACAATGAATTCTGAATTATACCAGCAAATTCTGAAGGAAAATGTCAGAGTATCTATCCGAGAACTAAATCTCAATAGAAAGTGGGTCATGCAGCAAGACAACAACCCCAAGCACACAAGTCGTTTTACCAAAGAATGGTTAAAGAAGAACAAAGTTAACATTTTGGAATGACTGAGTCAAATTCCGGACCTTAGTCCAATTAAATTTTGTGGAAGGACCTGAAGCAAGCAGTTCATAGGAGGAAACCCACCAACATCACAGAGTTGAAGTGGTTCTGTACTGAGGAATGGGCTAAAATTCCTACAAGCCGTTGTGCAGGACTGATCAGCAGTTACAAGAAACATTACTTGCAGTTATTGTTGCAAAACAGGGTCACACCAGATACTGACAGCAAAGATTCACATACTTTTGCCACTCACAAATATTTAACACCGGATCATTTTTCTCAATAAATAAATGACAAAGTATATATTTTTGTCTCCTTTGTTTGATTGGATTCTCTTTGTCTACTTTCAGGATTTGTGTGAAAATCGAATTATGCAGAAATATAGAAAATTCTAAAGCGTTCACAAACTGTATATGTTATATAATATATTTGAATACATTATATATTACATTGGATAAAAATATACATAATATATTATTTGTTACATATATCCATTCTCTCACCCACATTTCCATTCAGTACAGAAGAAAACTGCATAGAGTTAGTGCATATTTTTTATTATATTCAGACTGGGGATGGAGCATGATGGCCAGGCGAATGAGTGTGGGGATGAGGTTCCAATGGGCAGTATAATGGCTCCTCTGGTTCAAGCAGCCTTCCACCGCTTTCATTGGTCCCGATGCAGTGAACAGGAGCTCAGGCGATACCTCAAGTAAGTTACTTGGTTTTGGTAGCTTCCTGCTTTGTGACATATGAATATTCTATTATTCATCCTGTTCCTTGATTACACATTCTAAGATAGTACTATAACTCATGCAGTACATATGACTGTCTCCGTGACGACCCCTTTGATCATGAGTGGCCAACTCTGCCCCAGCTGCCTGGTCTGCATTACTCTATGAACGACCAGTGCCGCTTTGACTTCGGCATGGGCTACATGATGTGCACTGCGGTGAGTGAAAGAGAGACTTCGTCACACCAACCAACCTGGCATGCCATCTCACCCCACATTCAACCACATAAACTAGTTAGGTTTATAGTTAGTAAACCTGGCAATGCAGTATACTGGGTTCAAGTTAGGACAATGAGATAATACTGAAAATGTGGGATGTTTGTTTTTATTTAAACCTTCATATAAATAAAGTTTTATCAGGTTATCAGTCCTGTATTTGAGTCCTTAATATGGTTATGTTCACACACAGTACTGTTATTTACGGGAGTGACAACCACATTCTATAACCAAACTCACACCCGTAAATTTTCAGGACTCACAACCACATTCTCAGAAAACTCGTTGTGTGAATGGAACAGGACTGGACTGCTAGCTGTCTGTCACATCATACACTGCGAGAGAGCCGCTCTGTCTACATGTCACAAACGGTTGTCTACCGTGTGTTGTGGGTTTTCATGTGTGGTTTCGCTAACTTACAGAGATGCGTCATGCGTGTGACATCTGAAGGTTTAGATCCAGTCACTGTTCTTCTCCACTGGAGGTGTTCCATTCGTTTTTTTCTTCTATGCGCGACTCAAATGCTCACGGCTCGATTGGACTCTTGTCATGTCAAAAAGTGAAAAGACTTTTCAGTTTTATAGACGTCGCCATCTTTGATATTACTTTGGTCATTGTCGCTATGGTCACTGGTAAGGAATATGGACTTGACTCCCATTGCACATTCATACAGACAGTATTCAAAACGCTATTGTAAGCTGATGTGTGAACGGGACATTTCGAAACTCACACCTGTAAGTAAATGTGGTTGTCAATCCCAAAAACTGACAGTGTGAACACAGCTTTAATAAAATTAAGAATATTTAAGATTCTGCACTGCATCTCTAGGTGACTAATAAGATGTAATCAAATTATTACATTGATAATGTAACTATTTGTAGAGACAATCATATGTTCTTACTTCCTTTGATACACGAGATGCTCTTTGGATTATTCTTAAATCAGTCTGGAGAACAAAATCATGAGATTTCAGATTTCAGTTATTTTTTTTTAAATCTAAAATTGTTATGGCAATTATGTAATTTGTAATAAAAAATCTATAATTTAGACTATAAGTTGGGTAAGTTATCATGTGTATTTGTATTCATTTATTTATTTTATTAAATGTATTAATTTATTTTGATTTTTTTTTTAATCATTTTTCTTTTCATTTTAAATCCTTATCTGTCTGATTTACATATTTATTATTATTCTTAAAGTATTAATTATTAACTTTTTAGTTATTAACTGTTCTTGTATATGTATTTCCCATGTACAGCAGGTTTGTATTGTATTCTGGCAACTAATTTCTGACACATGAAAAAAAATGTGCCTATTGTTATCAATGGTTTCCTGTTGTGAAAAGTAAAATAAAGATTTGTTTAAAAATGTGATAAATGAAAAAAAAAATTTATGCAAAATAGAAACATTTCTGGACGGCTGGACTCCACTTTTTACGTTCAGCATGTTCTATAATAAGAAATAATGTTGTTTAAGCAGGTGCAAGCAGGTTATTCATCTATAAGCAAGAAAGGCAAAAATAAAATCTCTGAAAACAATTTAATAACACTTTAAAAAGCAAGACTTCTGCCACTTTCCCATTTCTCTGCCACCACACGGCCATGTAATCTGGACTGGTCACGTGGTCTGTGTATATGAATGCGAGCATGACTGTTTCTTTTAGTACAGCACCTACGATCCTTGCAAGCAGCTGTGGTGCAGCCACCCCGAGAACCCTTTCTTTTGCAAGACCAAGAAGGGCCCTCCTATCGACGGGACCAAGTGTGCAACAGGAAAGGTTAGATCTTATACTCAGAACCTGAGCATATACCCAGAACCAAAATACCAGATACCATTTTTTTTTTCTTTTCTCCCTCTCTCTCACTTTATTTCTCTAGCAATGTTTTAAGGGTCACTGTATCAAGCTGACACCAGACATTCTTAGGCAGGATGGTCACTGGGGTCAGTGGACCAAGTTTGGCTCCTGTTCTCGTACCTGTGGTGGTGGAGTACGGTTCCGCACTCGTGAGTGTAACAACCCAAGGTGAGTGTCTTCAAATCGGTGAAAACGGTATTCTCATCTTCTCACATTTCTCCTCATTGACTTGAACAAATCTGTTCTATGTTGTAGTCCAGCCAACGGGGGGCGCACTTGTTATGGAAACAACTATGAGTTCCAGCTCTGTAACATGGAAGAGTGTGCAAAGGCCCTAGCTGACTTTAGAGAGGAGCAGTGCGAGATGTGGAACCCCCACTTTGAGCATGAGGGCATCAAACACCATTGGCTGCCCTACGAGCACCCTGAATGTGAGAGATGACCTGATTTATTTAGTGTTATGCATTTCCACATCAATTTCCATTTTTGTTCAGTCTCATTTTATGCTGGTGAAAAAGACATTGCACAGTCACATGGTAATATACTCTTCATGAGATATAAACTCAGAATTGCAGGGAAAAAAGTTACCCTTTTTATTTTTTTAACCTGTGGCAGAAACAAGCTTTCATAGTTTTATGCCTAGCCATCAAGAACTTAATGCAGAACAACAAAGAGGATGGAACTTAAATTAATGGAAAGAATGAAACCAAAACATTCTGGAAAAAAGTGACTGTATCTCTCCTTTGGGATCATGGTATCATTATTTATATATGTCTTTATTTGGTTCAACTTCATCATTAAGATTTTAGAAAGAGAAATAGGGTTGTTACTCAACTGGAGAGTTGCTCTTAGTTGCTTGGAAACATTCACCAAAGGTTTGGCCCAGTCATTGAGAAGGGCATCAGCCAAGAGCTGGACGGCAGCGGTTGGAAGAAAGGCACATGGAAATGTGATTAAGCAGCAATGGCATCTCCAGTTATCCACTGGGACTGAATTACTGCTACAGTAGAGGGAATGCAGGCAGCCAGCTAATATCACTCCAACCTCCCCCTCTACTGCTGATAGGAGTAAACAGTCTTCATTTCAGTGCACATTCAGTAAGAACAATGTTGCAGTGGAGACACAGTTTTTTTGTTTTTGTTGTTTTTAATCTTTTGTTGATTTATGATTTTTTTTAATGTAGCAGACACCTTCTTTTAGCTCTAAAATAATTATCATTGCACCGCAAATCTGATATCAGTGGCATACTTACTAAATGCAACCATATGAATTGTCTAGAAGTAGCAATATGATTCATTAGTATTTACAGGTATTTGTATGCGTAAAGTGTGGTTGTTTACTTTTTTGTTTACTTTTAAACTTTTTAAGCGCCTTACTTTTTACAAGTATTCATTCTGGTACATTTTTGTATATTTGGATGTATACTACCATATACTTGGTAAGATTTTATAATATTTTTAAAGTAAGTCTCTTATGTTCACCAAGGCTGCATTTCCTTGATCAAAAATACAGTAAAAACAGTAATATTGTGAAATATTATTTGAATAAAAAAATAACTATTTTTTTATTTAAATATACTTTAAAATGTAATTAATTCCTATGATGGATGTCATTATTCCAGTCTTCAGTATCAAATGATTCTTCAGAAATCATTCTGTTATGCTGATTTGATGCTCGAAACAGTTATGCTGTTGTAAACAGATTTTCTACTTCATATTTCTTTTTTTTTTTTAAAGATTTGTTTTTGGCATTTTTGCCTTTATTATGATAGGACAGTAGCTAGACAGGAAGCGAAGTGGGAGAGAGAGCGGGGATGGGATCAGAAAAGGTCCACAAGCCAGGACTCAAACTCGGGACACCCAAAGCAGAAGGGCGCTATTGCTTCATATTTCAGTGGATTCTTCATTGAAAGTTGAAAAGAACATCATTTATTTAATAAAATCTTTTGTAACTTTGTTAACATCTTTACTGTCACTTTTGAACAATTAAATGCATCCTTGCCAAAATAAAAAGAATATATATATATATATATATTTTTTTTTTTTTTTTTTTTTTTTAAATTTT